ATTAGAAGAGTAGTAACTTGTGTATCTCATTAAACCACACGACACACATATATATATGGTGTCTACAATCTATCCAATGACAAGGATAAACTAGAATCCTACTAGAATAAAGATTACATGCCAAAGGATAATCATAAACTAGTAAGGTTTATGATAACTACAAATAAAGATATATCCCAACCATCATATCTTAACAATAAAAACAATCATTGACAGGGTCTGAATCCAATCTCTCAGGTGGGAATTCCAATATTATTGGGCTATTGGGAAAATAATCATTGAATGCGGTATTGGCCTTTGTACTTGTAGTAGTATTACTGGTAGTCTGCTCTGTGGAACAAATATAGTAATATGATAATATCATCACTTCTTCACCACTACTAGCTTAATGACAGTGAGTAGAAGTGTCTTTTTAAGAGACTCCATTCTTTCTAGACTCATCTCGGTTTAATTAATTCCCTAAGGCCTAATTATGCACTATAAGCAAAGTAGTATTCTTATTCATTTGAGCTATTATGAAGTATAATTAATGTGGTCATAATTATTAAAAGAATCGAAGTTACGGGACCAACTACGTAGTGGGTCTAATCTATTAAAAAACTACGTAGTGGGTTTATAAAATCTGAATATATACCCTCGTTTATAACATTTATTATTATTGTATTTAAGTAGCATCTAGTTCATGAAGTCGTGGACTACTTAAGATGTTAAGTATTGTCATCACAGACTCAAAGTGCAGAATCCATTGCATAAAATAGCTAGTTTTATATTATGTAAACTGTTCTATCCTTTTCGCTAAATATAATCTTTACTTTTGGCAACTATAGGAAAAAAACAATTATTACGTTAGCTAGATAATTTTTTTTATTTCGCACGTTCAATCCACTATCTGACTATAGTAACAACTAACAACGTCATTTTTCAGAACATTTTGAAGTTCCTTTGAATTCAAGGATATTCGAATATCCTAATCACATTTAAGTATTTAACTCATAACAGTTAACATTTTTCTATAAATAAATTTAAGTTCAAACAGCTTATCCAATCTAGTCATTGACAAAGACAATACGCTCAAGTCACATTGTACAAGTTAGTACTCTAAAATAAATGAATATGACATAACTATAAACTTAAATGAAAAAGAGCCACTCGAGAGGTTATTGGATTTGATTTAAACGGAGTCTTCCTTAGCTTGCACCTGAGCGGATTGCCAGGCCCTCCTTGTCGCAGCTTCAGAGACCTTTGCGTTCGGCTACGGCAAATCATCTCTGAGTAGCCTAGTCCTTGCTGCTTCGGTTTGTCCAGCCTCTTGGAAATGTTTGGTTGATGCTTCTCATATAGTCTACGATTGTACTATTGCATCGGATCAGTTTTTAAGCAGATGAGATTGCAGTTTTGTAATCAAACCTTCATTATCTCTTTAGTGATATTTACATCTTTAGCAAAAAAATAATAATTTAATTATACTCTTTGTTTTAAAAAGATATACAATATATTATAAAGTTCTCACACATATTAAAAACATTTTATATTTTTTTTATTATAAATGTATTTATTTTATGATTAACTATATTCCACAGCTTTTAAACTATCAAATTCAATAAACACACTTTTTGAAATTCACAATTTACCATTATTACTTCATAAAAATGGATCGAAAAAGGTAAAAAAGTATCTTTTAATTTTTTTTTAAATTAGATCAATTGAAACGGATGGACTAATTTATGATGTAACACTAACATTTTTAGATTACTATTGTTCAATAACACACAATGAGACTGAGGAACAAAAGCAAATTACATATTAATCTATAATTAAAAAGAGTACGTAAAGATGAACCAGAAAGTAGATCACCTTATAATATGTACATTTGTATCTGTATCTAATTCAAGAATATCAATACAGAAGCAAAAGATAAAAGAACATTTGATTTAGAAGTGGTCACAGTGATTATTGTTATTATCGGTCCAGCAAAGAAGCATAACGACGCATCTGCCAATGATGTAAAAGCGAGCTCTTTGTTCTCTCACCAACCTCCCACACTTCCTCGTGAACCCGTGTCTCCTCTGCTTCTTCTGTCTTAACGAGCTCGTGACTCTCGACACGTCTCCATCGTCTCCCATGGTTTCCTTTTTTGGCGATAGTTCCCATCTCTCGTTCAGCTGAAACCGCGACGAGTTTGCTAATGATCTAGTCATCTAATGTTTCTGATTTGGGTTTGGAAGATTTTTCTTGTTGGTTTTTGGAATCTGTTATCTTGAATGGTTTTTGGAATCTGTTATCTTGAAGATGGGAGATTCGTCAGAGTTAAATAGAGAGAGTCTGAGAGTTGATGTGGAGAGTTTTGGGTCTACTTGCGCATTTATAATGATGTTACAAACAAATATCGATCGTTGAAAAAGCGGCTTGACGAAAATAACAAAATAAAAATAAAAACTTTTTTTTTGACTAAAAAGATTGTTGTCCCTTTAACTTTACTCAATGAATATGAACATTAAAAAGTTATACACTACTGTAGTTGTAGTACTATTTTCTTTCTTACTTAGCATATATATTTTTCGAAAATGTTCAGTTTTAAGGACCTTGGGTACGAAATAAGTTATTGCATCGACGGAAAACAAAACAAGGGAAACAAATGATCTGACTCTTTTAAGTTATCGTACTAATAGTTTCAAAAAAAAAAAGTTATCGTACTAATTTATTATGTCTTCTTTTCCTTATGAACCAATAACTTGATTTTGTACATCCATTCGTAATCATTACTTATAAAAAAAGATGACCGATTTTTTTTATTTAAAAAACAAATAATATAAGTTTTCACCACATATAATAATATTATAATATTTATATTTGAGAAAGATTCATAAGAATATTTTTCATTTGAAAGACCTTTGATATGAATGACGTTAGTCTCTTACAATAGACAAATCAGATTAAATTATAATAACTCAAACTTTTTATAAGGAACACACTGTATGTTACTGAGGCAAAATAAAAATTATATATGTCCAATTTGAATCGATTTCATTACTTCTCATAGGAGTAAGAATATATAGGACATATAAAGTCTCTGATAATCCTATCATTTGAGTATTCGAACCGTTGACATACTTCTAATATAAAAAATGGATGACCGAATTAGTTCTTAAAAATATAGTATAGTTTTCACCATAATCTTAATATTATAATATAAAAATTTGTGAGAGATTCATATGAAAAAGATTCTTTGAAAGACCTTTGATATGAATGCCCTCAGTCTCTAACAATTGACAGATCAAATTAATTAGCCTCAACTCAATTTCTTTATAAGGAACACAGTGTACGTTACTTAGGCAAATTGATCCCTCCTTACTGCTCAAAGGAGTAAGAATAGGACATGTGAAGTCTCAGATGATCCTATCATTTGAGTATTCAAACCTTTAACATTTTTGACACAAAACAAAGGTGCTACCAAACTGCATTACATCTCTTTCAATTGGTTTACATTTGACTCGTTGCATAATTTGTATCATAACGGATGGCTCATGCAACATGTTATATTAAAAACCCTAATCTGCTATAATTGCATACACTGAGTTACATCTCCAAAAGAATTGGGTAAGATATTACACTCTCATAGTTCATATACAAACTCACTTAAATATTAGACTGGATTAAAAATGCAAACATACTTGTAATTATTACTAGGTACTATCAATATTCCTCTTAAAATGATATAAACAAAATTTGATAAATATGTTACGATATTCTGTTAAGAAATGTTACGTTATTCTGTAAGAGACTTAATTCTATTCTACCAAGTATGAACTTAATTATGCCTATTCATTTCGGTGAACTTGGGAATTCTTTAATTTAAACATTACTTAATAATTAGCAATGGGAAATACTGGATTTTGTTTCCACCCTTTCCCAAAAGAAATATGGCTTCTTGCTTCTTTGAAGCAGCTGAGTATGAAATCTTACTAACTCACTAATTAATAAAATGAAAAATTAAACAAAGTACAGTTCAAAAAAGAAAAATTAAACAAAGTAACACCGGAAAAATAAAAAATAATACCGGGTACGTATGGAGTCAGGAAATCGTAATACCCATTATAATTATGTCTCTTTTAAAGAAAAAATATTAAAGAAATTGTGTGTCTCTATGGAATGTGAAAAAAATATCACTGCAAAACTATACTCAATATATAATCATTTTAGAAGTAAAAAAGTATTTTTGTTTAATAACTAGGATTTCCCCAAATTAAATAAATAAAAAGAATTATAGAATTTTTTTAATACTGGTTAATTATGCATTACAAACTATGAGAAATATTATATAGATGATATTACAGCCGACAATTCTAACTGCTTTATGCGGATTTATGTTTGGCTGCATCACCCTGAACTGTCCTATGAAATCTATTTCTGACGGTACGCCTTAAATCATGTTGGAAGATCTCTTGTAAGCATTTCCTCCAATAATCTGCATAATCCGTCATTCACTTTCTCCGGGAAATTGAAATTCTCTTTATGTAGAAATTGCGTAACCTAAGATTCGAACCCAATACCTGATTTAGAAGCCTTTAAACCTTAACCACTAGACTACAGTGATTCTATAAATTATACAAATATTTATAGCATATTTTGGTCGTCTATAACTAAAACAACAATTTACTGAAATATATATTAAAAAAAAAACAGTATATATGTAACAATTTCGAGAGGCTTATGATAAGTGATAACTATCCAATAAGTCTTTCAAAACTTATATATAACACGATAGCATCCCATAAATTAGAATCAGTTCAACTTCAAATAAATCAGCAACACCATAATACCCCTTACAAAATGAGTTCATGGAGCAATATTGTTATAATATACAAAAGCCTATGTCGCCTTACAGTCGCTATGAAATAAAAGCAAAGATCAGTCAAACACCAAATCTTGTACTAATCATTGTAATTAGGATCACAACCACAAATTACAGTAATTCCAATATCTTACTATATACACTTTTCTAACTATTAACTATTAAACTAATTTGCATATAATATATAAGTCTCCAGCCTAGACGGGTCACTATATAACCTATGATTGGATACAACTCATACTAGCTAAGCATTTCATCTTGTCCCTTTTATAGTTTTATGGTCCTTTTGTTGTGCACATATTCTCGTCCTATCACGAAGAAGGTAGACTAAAACTAAAATCTCGTTGGAGAAGAAATGTAACATTCCGGTTTATGGTATATATGACAGATTTAAGAGAATTGATTTGATTATTTATATCATTAAAATGCATTCAATTTTTCTGTCAATCATCCACTCTAGAATAATATAGTTGAGTTAGAATAGTAAAAAAATATGTGGTCTATTAAAAAGTGATTTACGATACCGTATGAATGAAACCGAAACACGGGAAAATATCAGTTGTGATTGCAAATTCAGTAAACAATATTTTCGAACCTTTGAAAAATTCATGTAATACATGTCGCATGAAATAGAGCCTACAGCCGAAAGAACAGGTGTGAAAGACATATTAGAGGACGTTAAAACATAACAATTTTTCTTAAAAGGAAACTGATTCTAGAATAAGGTAGGTTAGGAACGAATTATATAAGGGATGTTACAAGTGCATCGTCATATTAGGAAAAGATGTTCAAGATTATCTAAAAAAATATTTTGGATTAGCAAAAGTGTCAAAATTCTTAGGACCCATATCTAAGGCCCAAAATTAAAAGCCTAAAGTTAGAAAGGGATAAACTTACCCAACGGTTCTTATGTTAAAAGTTGAAACAAAGCGTCTATTTTTGTTGAATTGACCAACCGTCTAATAAATTTTCAATAATTGCCAAAACTTAACCCATATACTAAACTCGTAATACGTTTTTTTGTTTTTTGTTTTTCCCTCGTCAAATACATCATCATTCAGAATAGAAAATGTAAACATCTTACCATCGACTTCATATACTGTTTAGAAAGCAAAAAGGACATGAACGACAACAAACCATGGTTGCCAGCTCAGCTCACAATTTACTCGCATTATACGAAATCGCGATAAGAAAGTTTAACCTATAATTGCTTCTTTTTGATAATTGTTTTGTTTAACACCTATAACGCATGCTTAAACTTAATAGTCTTACATCCACAATAATTTGCAAAATCTATCCGATGATTTAAAGTTATATATGATGCAGAAACGACTGAAGCTGTGGTCAAATACTAAATTAACACAAATGTGTTTCCTAGCAAACCTAGAAGTTATAGTCTATCTGAATTTGGATTTTATATATACTTTATTTTTCAGTATGATTCTGTACAGCATTTGGTTTTCAAGCCCTAATAAACTCATTTGTTTAGGATTATAAAAAAGTAAAACATGACTTAAATTTTCCTAACTTTTTTCGTATTTCATGTACATAAAGGTTAGAGAAAATGGCCAAAAATGCGATCAAATTTATAGTAAACATTTAATCTAATATTATTGAACAAATACTTCCTTTAATTACATTTGCTTGGTCTAACAATATGGAGTTTTACATGAATACAGTAATTGCCTTTCAGTCTCACAATAATATTTGTTTTCTTGCAATTTGTATACCAACACCTTGATAGATCTTAAGTATTAGTTAAGATACGAATCTTTGCAGTACAGAAATTTGTTATTCATCCATTTCCATCGTCTTAGATCATAGTTGCAGTTGGCGCCAGCGGGTTATGAGATTCAGGTTTCTAAACTCTGGTATAGTATATAGAAGATCATGTGAACCTCACAGAATATGAGTAAAATATAATACATCACATCATCATCTGCTATATTATATTAGAGAAACATGATCCGGAAGTAAGGATCTTGAATATAAAAATACGCATTGACACGAAGAACAAGGAAGGTTAGGTTTCACATGAAGATGAATCCTTTGATTAACCAATGGACAAAGAGAAGGTACATAACCATATGTAACATTAAACAACAGATTATGTCATATTCTACCAAACTCTTTGATTCATTGTTTATATGCAAACCCCATATCAAATCTATAGATTCTTTAGATGCCGTATCTAAATTTACAAAAAAAAGGACCTACAAAATGACTATGTATAGATTGTACGTAGAAAGAAACCCCTATAAAAGATTCACATACTTAACAAAAAAAAAAAAGAAAGAAACCCCTATAAACTTAGATTTTTTTCCACAGTCCATAGATTGTTTAGCAAAAAGTATACAACAAGACTATAAGTAAGGATTCATTTATTCCGATCAACTTAAACAGCAAATATATACATATTTCTACCAT